CTCAAATCTGTGTGGAGGTCAACAGCAATCAGCATCAAAAATAAGATCCGGATTTTCAACTCCAATGTGAAGTCAGTGCTACTATACGGATCAGAGACTTGGCGAGTCATAAAGAGCATCTCAAACAAACTTCAAACCTTCATTAACAACTGTCTCCGCTCAATACTCAAGATCAGATGGCCAGAAAAGATCAGCAACAGGGATCTCTGGGAGCGAACCAATCAGGAACCGATTGTGAAACAAATAGGCAGAAAGAAATGGAGATGGATTGGCCATACGCTGAGGAAACCATCAAGTGACATCACTAGACAAGCCCTCGAGTGGAACCCGAAAGGGAGGCGGCGAGTTGGTCGTCCAAGGGTGACTTGGAGGAGGTCATGCGAGGAGGAGATGAAAGCATGTGGACAGACCTGGAGCAGGGTGAAAAAGTTGTCAGAAAACCGAAGTCAATGGAGGTGCGCAGCTGAAGCCCTATGTTCCTCTAGGAACTAAAGGATACAATAATAATAATAATGTCTAAAATGGAGATAACATTATGATATAAGACAACAACGACATCTAAAGTACATCTACTGTGTTTATCAGCCAGTAGCCTTCAATGAAGGTTTAAAAAGTATCATTTTTTTCATTATATTTTGAACTAGGTCTAAAATTAACCCATAACCCCTGTGACATTTGAAGCACCTGGATAATTTGAATGTCTTTCCTAGAAGTAGGTAGGCACAGCATTTATGGGAAATTATGTTTTGAAAATATTAGTAAGTGAATGACATAAAAGTATCGGTAGATTTTCTGAGAATAACAGCTGGTGCACCATATGGACCCAGGGATGGGGAAAGCTTCAAGTACTGAAGGTATTTAAGAAACTCATTCATATGAAAATCAGGAAAGCGACCATTCTTATAATACTTGCTGATGTGTACGCCTATGGACGAAACCAACAGTTAAACAGATATGAATGTAGGCATTTACTGGTTATTAAAGCGTAACCACGATGTGTCACCTAGCTAGATGCCTTGTCGTGGTAGTACACTTTGATTTTTTTTTTGATAGATGGTTGGAGGCAGTCGTGAGGGTGCCTTGAAACGGATGGCTTTATTGCATATACACGCTAATTGCAGCGTCCTAATCCGTTGCTATTGTGGCTTAATGACTAGTTATATTTTTATATACTTTTTAAATGAAATTTTGCATTAAAAATGTTTCTATTACGTACATATTATCAGTGGCATTATATTCTTCAACTGCCTCACACTTGCTGTACTTTCACCAGGAAATGACGTTCGATAGTGATATCTGCGCAACCCAATAGATTAAACAATATAGTAAGTCCTAACGTTAAACCTATATTTATGGATTTTCATGAAATCATGCTAGGACAGTGAGCCTATTTATTGAAAATTGATAATACCCGCCAGGGAAAACAGACGGCGCCACTTCTAAAAAGAGTCATACTATGTAGTCACTCCCTCCCTCCCTAAACCTAACTTTTGCACCTATTCGCCTTCGTCAGGAGGGTATATGTGCAGCCATGAAGGAAATGGCGCGTTGTTAGTGATCTCAGAGGCTTGAGAGCAGTTGTTTTCACAGCCATATTAAAAATTTTAGACACTAAAAGGGTTCGATGGTCCAGTGTAACTCAATAATCTCTATGAAGTTAGTAGTGAAATCTACGATGAAGTCAATCTAGATCGTAAAAACAAACCCCCATGATCTAAATACCAATCTCTGTCTCGATGATAGCAACTGGATGAAATGTCCTCAAGCTTCACTGAGAAGTTGTGACCAATGAGGTCCACCATATCAAGATGAAGTGACTAAATGGTCAACAAGTTTCGTCACCCAGCCTGAATCCCCTGGGTTTGATCCCTATTAGGTAGGAACGTGGGTGTTGACAGTTGAAGATTCTTAAACCACTAAGAAACAGATTTTCAGTGTTCCCATAACCTAATTAAGTTGTTGTGTTGTATTAGGAAGAAGATAGGAAAACACGTCAGAAGGCTGATAGATAGAACTTAGGCTAATAGATCTTCTAAGGTCAAAGTTCAACAATAGAGTCCCAGGAGTGTGAACGCTCCAATGACCTTGAACGCACGCTAGTCGTTGGCTAACGGCATCTATCATTATCATAGCTGAAATATCAACGCTATTCACCAACTTAGGAGGAAATTTCACCCAGATCACGATTTTAAGCACTGTTTGGACAATGTATTTATAGCTCGTTAGGATTAGGGTTAAGGTAAGTATTGGGGTTAGGGTTGGGATCAGGGTTATAATTGGCATTAGGGTTAGAATTACGGTTTGGATAAGGGTTATGCTTAGGGTTAGGATTAAGGTTGGGTTTAGTGTTTGGGTCAGGATTTAGCTAATGGTTACGATTAGGGATAGATTTATAGTTGATGTCACTTATTTTAATTTTTTTATTATCCACTTTTTCCTGGTACGTAGTCGTCTATCCTCTTGCTGGAGATCATACTAATTCAACGAGCGCTTTTTCGGAAGTCTGTGAGCAGGATGAGAGAGATAGACGATTCACAAAAACAGTTTATCTGTGGTCATCTCGGTGAGTACATGTACAGAAACTAGTCTAACTTAGCAACTGATACTCATCGTGACAACCAGGACATATTTTTAATCCATGTCAGAGAAAGATAACCTGTTTAATGCGTTTTCAAGCATTTTCTTCACAATATACATTATATTTTAAACAAACATTCCTCATTTTTATGATTGGTCAGCTGAATGTCACTCGTGTGTTCGCACTCCTGGGACGCTGTTGTTGAACTTTTCCCTTCTAATAAGCCTGACAATGGATTGATATCAGTTTCACACAGTATTGTCGATGCCGTAGAGAAATCCTAACATGTTTAAAAATACTGAACATAATGTTCTATTTACATGATATGGTGAGGGAAAAACAAAGATTACAGCAATCATAGAGATAAGCTGGTGTTTGCAATTATGAGAGTAAAACAAACAAAGAAGCAACAGGACCATAAATATAATAGAAATAATAAAAGTAAAACTTGAAGGTATGTAAGGATGGATGGAGGAAATTATTTATTTACTAGATGAAAAATGTTTGGTTAGTTAATTGTTGCCTGACACTATTTTCATCACATTAAATACGTGACAAGTATGGTATCATAGAATTTCTATACTTAGACCTGCGAGCGTACACTTTTCTGAAGTTTCTCCTTGTTCTACCTGAGGAGATGCAAGGTGAAAGCTGAGGGTAAAGTGGATGCGCCAAGTCAGACAAAATCCCTTTAGCAAATTTATTGCACGAAGTCAAGTGCCTATCGATAGCAATATTAACTTTGTGGTCCACTGGGACACCACTCACCCTACTGACCGTCTTCAGTATTCCACGAATTGTGACGTAGTCTTTTTTAAGCAGACCAGGAAAGAATAAGGAAGGGTGAATAATAAAGCAGAATAGGTAGGATGCAAGAGTTTATGAACTATAAGAGGAGGGGTTGAGCTATACCCGGCTGTCTTAACTTCTTAATGTAAAATATCAGCCGGAATATTTTACTGGAGATTGCTAAGACATGGAAAGACCAGGAGAGATCAGAAGAGAGAATAAGTCCAAGATACTTAATTTCTGATTTGATTCCTATATCATTGTCATCAATTTTACAACTGTCATGAGAATCGATGATTTCTTTTAACTGTCTTTTACATCTTAAGCTGAAATTAACAGTCTGACACTTAGAAGGATTCAGTTTAAGACCGTTAGACTGAGACCATTTGCTGACTCCCTACAGTAACCTGTTTATTTTGGTACAATCTAGCTGGGAGTTAACAGCCATAGGAACTGTTAAATCATCAGCGTACTTCACAAAGTTTATTTCATCAGAGTGAGGCAAGTCATGCAAGAAGAAGGGAAAAAGAAAAGGAGAAAGAACAGCGCCTTGAGGGACACCAGCTTCAGTAGGCAATGAAGTGGAAGACTTCCCTTTATATACGTGTACTGCCTTCTTTCTGAGAAATAGGCATGTAACCAGTTAACAGCCCAAACATTCTGTTTGACTTGCAGCAAGTCTAATTAATAAGATGTCCTTAGGGACCGAGTTAAAAGCAGATGTATAGTCTAGGAAGGTACAACGAACAAATTTAGCCGCCTTGTCTAGACTGGAAGCAATGTTATGATATAAGACGGCAGCCGCATCTAAAGTGCTTGTTCTGTGCTTATAGGCAAATTGTTTGTGGTCATTAAAGGATTTAAGCGAAGGTACAAGTCTAAGTAAAAGTAATTTCTCCATAGTTTTCAAAAAAGGAGAGGTAATAGCAATGGGTTTAAATTTGACACATGCTCCAGTAGATGATTTAGGTATAGGTACAACTTTAATATCCTTCCAAACGGCAGGCACACAATATTATCGGAAAAAGATTTGAAAAACATATCAAAATTCATACAAATCAATTCTTGAAAAATTAATAAGTCTTTGATAAGATATTACAGTGTACTCACTAGTTAGCAGTTACAAGTGTACAACATATACACATGAGAGCCTTCTAGGTGTACAGACATGTACTCACATTCTGATTTCATGCTCTTACATATAAAAAATCATACAGATAGATATATAGACAGACAATATTAAATATCATACTATAAAAATTTGTTAAGACTGTATCTATTTGATACACCCTACTACTAATATATCATGTGATTAATGATCACTCATAATTTGGTTTGTTTTATTTTAGTTGAATTCAATTTCGTGTGTATATAAATACGTGATTTGATAAAGGTTATCATACACATTAACATTTTTGCTCTGATTCACTCATCAAACAGGAACCTGTTGAATTCTCAGCAGCTTACAAATATATATATATACAATATATAAACCAATATTTTGTGACTTTGTGTATTCAGATCTTATTTCCAATCTATTCATCACACAGAAAATTTATTTAATTTCGATTACTAATTAATTAAATTAACATTTATTCACAATCATCAATAATTAATTAATTAATTATATTCAATGGCAGTCGAGTCATTGACTCAAGAACAACTGGACGATTTGTTTCGTAATTTTGATTCCGTGCGTGAATCAAATAATGTTGCCTGGAGTGATATTAAACAAGCCTTGGAGATTGTTGGTGTCTCTGTGGCTGGGCATGAAATTCGCGATTTAGTCGGTCAACCGCGTAATTATCTTAGTTTGGGAGAATTCAATGATTTGTATATGCGAGCAAAAGATATGAAGGATACAACAAAGGCTATTCGTAAAGCACTATTATTGAAACATGCAGAAGATGTTAAGGTAAGCGATAAATTGTGTTTTCTTTTGGGGGGGGGTTAAAGAAAAGAGATCCAGCGAAGAGACTGTTTTCAACGAATTTATTATCAAGCTGTACAATCGTATGTTGTATATGGTTTTTGTTAAGAAATGATATCCAGTGAGGGAATTAGGTCAAAGGTGTGAATACATGAAATAATAATAGTAGTAGTAGTAGTATGAAATGCAATTAAAATATTTATGATTATAATCATAGTTTAATGTCAAGTGGCAAAATAATTAATGTCATATATAGAATAATACATAAGGTGTATAAATTTTGGAAAGGGGTACATAATTATAAGATTAGTAGACGAATATAAAATGTTACATAACATGGTGTGAAATTTGATAAGATAAATTTCAATATAGAGGGATAGACGTTTATTTATTTATTTTGCTTATTTAGTTATTCTGTGTACCTTTCCCTTATAATTTTTTTTCTTACCTTCACGTCCCCCAGTGGAGCATAGGGCTTCAAGCTAGTGGCTTGAAGTTTCTGTAGCAGTGTTTATTTTACAGGATGGGGTTGCTAGCCTCATGCCCAATCTTTCCTCTTTACCAGCATTATTTCTGGCTTAGCAAGGTAAAGGAGTGCGTCGGTGGCCGGGAATCGAACCTCGGAGCATGTGTATGGTCGGCGAGTGTCCTAACCGCTATGTCACCGACACAATTCCATGTTTACTACAATTATTTTTATTATTATAGTCATTATTATTATTATTACTGTTCTCACTCTGAATCTTTTCCACTTGACCCACTTGTCATTTTAAAACCGAAATTATTAATTTTTATATTTTTTATTTTTACAACATTGAATTCTATCTTGTTGAATTTCACACCATGTTATGTAACATTTTATATTCGTCTACTAATCTTATCATTATCTACCCCTTTCCAAAATCTATACACCTTATGTATTATTCTATATATGACATTAATTATTTTGCCACTTGACATTAAACTATGATTATAATCATAAATATTTTAATTGCATTTCATACTACTACTACTACTATTATTATTTCATGTATTCACACCTTTGACCTAATTCCCTCACTGGATATCATTTCTTAACAAAAACCATATACAACATACGATTGTACAGCTTGATAATAAATTCGTTGAAAACAGTCTCTTCGCTGAATATTGTGTTCTTAAAAAAAGATGTTTATTACATTAGGGTATGTAATATTGATTCCATTGAACAGTCTAACTAGGTGTTAGTCCCTCCTGATACACAAACACACACACACACATCCGGGTTTCCAATGTTATTAAGTGGTTTGGAAGCAATTAATCGGAAGGAAGCCTTGGACCTAGCTAGATTTCTTGCTTCTTCACACTCACCAGTCAACAAGGCGTATATACACTGTTAAAGTAACTAACTCATTTTGCTTTTAAGACTCAAACTCGCGTCACCCAGCTCTCCTGTCAAAGACGTTACCGCTGAGCTATTTCATTATAGAGTTCAGTTGCCTGATAGAATTCTGTCTGCACATGACATCAGTTACTATCCAGTGTCGAATCAAAGTTTCTAATGTTAACCTGAATTAAGTGAATAAATAAATCAATAAATTAGAGAGCTTGAACAAAACAAGAACTACAGTTTTTACAGAATAAAGTGGTACCATCATTATTTATTTCGTTGCCTTCTCGTCAGCTGCTTACATGGCAAAGACATTATTAAATATATCTACAAAAACAATATTAACATACTTGCACAGAGTTCATTTTAAACAAAAATCAATCGATCAATATATACATACAGTGATAATATATACATATATATGTATATATAAAATATTAAACACTATTCCGAACAATAATAATCATACACACTGGAAACTTTTCAGCATTTCGTATTCAGATGAAAGAGAGATTGAAACATCCAGTTGCCAGGGCAAACAAAGACTGATAACCACCTCTTTCTGAATGCCTAAATCACGTTTGCCCTGTAAGCAGCTGACGAGAAGGCAACGAAATAAAAGATGGTACCACTTTGTTCTGCTAAAATTGTAGTCTGTGCTTTGTTCAAATTCATCAGGGGGAATAAATGTATAAAATTAGAGAGCATCATTCAAACAAATACAGATCCTCGATAATTTCTCATCAGACTTCACAATTATGTGATAAAACCACTAAGCATAGGACATTTAGTATTAGTGTGGTTTATTAAGAGGTAAAGTCCTGGCATACGAATTAATGGATTAGAATAGCAAGGATATTATTTGGTAGATTTTGACTACAGACTGGAATCCAGGATGCGCATTTCGTCCTATTTGAGGCTCGTTTACCTGGATGTACCCGTAATCTTCAGTGAGCTCAGGTGTTTCCATTCGAAACTCAAACTTATACAATGTGTTTATGTAATTCAGATAGTCAGTTATTGTGAATGTATAAGGAGAAGGTACAGATTTGTTGGGTTAGGGGGGGTGGAAATAACGATTACCTCATATTGATTGCATAATAGAATTGTTTAATGTCATAATCACTTGTTAAAGTAAGATAACTCTACAAGCCGAGATAGAGTTTACACTTATCCACTGTCACCGGGATAAATGACTGTTCACTCGGCTCCTGATGTCTGTAGACCTATTCATCTAAATTTACATCAGAGATTACTATTCTAGTTGTAATTTCGTTGAAGGTGAAATTCTTTATAATGGGTGGGATAGAAATTGAATAAACTTTTTCTGGTGACATAGATTCGGTTGAAAATCTTTTATTTTTTGTGAAAAATGCTTTAGCTAGACTTTAACAAATAAATGGGTCTACAAACTTACCGAGTTGAGATGATATCTTGTATAGAAGGGTAAAAGCTTCGTATCCACTAGGTGTTCACAGTGGGAAACCCTTGATTGACTTTACGATTCCTTTTCTTAACTACATTGAACAATGTTTAAAAAGGTGACGATGAAATTTGTAGATTCGCTCTATCTATGTTACTGTCTTCAGAAGAGCAGTTACATTTATAAGGGTACAATTGAAGTGGTCAAAGTTAATAGCTTATCCTTCACCTGCATTGAAATTTTACAAGTATTGGAGCAAAGAATGCTCTAGCTATTATATAATAAAAACAAATGATTATTTATCCACTAATCCATTTAGCTGAACTTGAATTCTATTAAATACATTGATGTCAAATATATATATATATATATATATATATATATATTTGCAATTCATAGTTTTATTATTATGTAATTGTTAAGGCCTGATGAAAAAATCACCGTAAATTACATATTTACTGAAAACTTGTTTTTTTTCTTAATTCTGATAATGAGAATATTTAAATTTATTTTACAGGCAGAGATGACATGGTTTTTGTATATGACAGCTTTTTCAAAGATTTCTGCTCTTCAACTAGTCTTTTTTGACCTAAATTATTATCAATATAGAATCAGAAATGTGTGAAATGCACCCTACTGGATGTTTAATAGGGGTGGTTCGATATTGAATGGACAGTAGTGTTAAAAGCAGATGGATGAGGAAGGCAACACCCTATAAACCAGATCCACGAGGGACTGGTGTATAAATAGTCAACAATACGTCTACGATAAGCGGTGACTATTTTTTCTACTGTGCAAAATTTGTTTAAAAGTTTCTTAGTAGGTTGGTCAGCCCAGATATTATATGAGGTTTAATTAAATGACTAAATGTCCACTGAAGAATGGCGTTTTTCTTTTCAAATTACTGTAGGATATGATAATGGACTAGTTAACCTTACTGAATAGTACTCAATGAGATGAATCTCTCTTTTGATCAATTGTTTATTAGATGTTAAAATTAATTGACCATCTCTTTTGAAGGGTATTAAACAAGAAGGTTGATGTGGTCAGTAAATTAAGTGATACGATACCACTGCATCCTGTGATATACACTATAGAGTTTGATGTAAGGCAATAACGAGGAATCAGCCAGTCAGGCAGGCAGTCAGCCAGCTTCATCAGTTTACTCTGATAATGACACTTAATCTGTCGAATGTACGCTAGTGTTGATGTGGTACGACTACGCATTTATTTTGCATCACTCTTCTATACACCCCTTGGGCCATTTTTTTCTGTATTAAAAGGCATAGTCAATCGGATCAGATATTTTGATGTGATATATTTGTCCGACAAGATTTTGAAAAGCCAACAAATAATATCACTTTTTTGTTTTTATAAATTTTTGGATAAAGTTACATCCATCTGCCTTATAGAGACAGAAGATTATTGTTGTTATGAGTAATTATCTCAGAGATCAGGATATTTCTTTCTGGAAAACTTCGATTTGGATTTTTGTTTTTAGCATACAGCACTCAGGACTTCTGGTTACATGTGATGGCCATCTATTGTAGCTGATTACCTGATCGCCTCTCTCTCTCTCACTCTCTCTACTGCTGATAGACTTTAGGAATTCAGTAGATCGTAACCTATAGGTTTTAAATGTTGATTAAAGTCTATCGATCTGTGTTAAGTATTGCGAGGAATAGATTTGTTGCTAGGCAACATTTGATTAATCTTACTGATATAAGTATACATTAGTACCCAGTTAATCAGTAGTAACACCTACTCCAACCTATAATTACTCCTAACAAAATACCAATAATTCACATAGTCCGGCGTTCAATCCTCGGCCGACGCACACTTGATATCAGTGGTCGACCTGCTAAATTCCGGCTACCGATATCATATGCTGAAAATTCCATCCTTGTACCAAAATATTGTGTGGAATCAAGCTAAAATTATATTTAGAAGCACGCTGTCAAGAGTAATATATTTAGACAGAATAAATGCTAAGGTGATTCTTGATGAGTATAACGGCTGGTCTAGGAACTCTGGGTGCCTATACGCTTCGGAAACTCCATGGATACTTACTTGTTAATAAAAACTTCCAAACATATTAACTATTCAAAGGTGGCCAGCTGACAGTTTATTTGGTTATGTCTATTTCAGCCCTGATTATAATTTGAAGCAAAAAAGTTACATACTTTAGTTGTATTGTATTATAATCTCTAATCTAAGAGATGCAAAAGAACGGCACATTGTAAGACTTAGTCGACAAGCAGTTAACATATCCATGTAGGCACTTATCAATAAAGTATTTTTACTAAATTTCTGTTTTAACTGAAAACCTTCTTGAATACTTTCGTTAAAATGACTAATATAGTCAATCTGTATCTAATCAAATGAATGATTAATGCTCACATTATAGAGAAATTCATAGCAATCGTTAGATAGTAAGTGAGTATACCAGACAACTAACTAGACTACTATTATGATTTCTGTTGAAACAAGGTTTCTAAATGACTCACTAAAAGTGGATATAAATGACAAACGATTATTTTATTCGTAAAACATTATATTTGTAAAATCTCAGCGATATTGAAATGAGTAATTCCAACGTTTCGTTTGGCAATCTGGTCCGAACTTCTTCAGGGAAATTAATCGAAATTAACATGACAGGTTTATATATGAAAAGGAACATCTTTTGTTTTTAAAAACTTTGTCCAATCATGATTCATAAAACAAATATTAACAAGTATAACAAACAAAATTGTACGAGTTGTGATCAAAACTTGACCTCAGACTTACAAATATTGATCTACCTTTGTTAAACACTTTAAACACAGTGTGTATGTGTGTGTGCGAATAAACAGTTGTAAAACAATGTCTTAACGTCTCCATAAGTAGATATAGACAGTCGGGAAACTTTGACCAAGTATTATTAGTTAGTGATACATATCCATTCTTATTTATTAATCAGGATTTCCTATGCGTCATCTAACATCACACCTTCATGTCGGTTCAAACTGTTAGTATCTAGAATTCTATGATTAGATGTATTTTCAAAATTATGGTGTTTAGGATTAGAGTTTAGTTGAAGCACCCTGTCAAACTTATTACCTTGTCTTCTTTCTGAAAATTGAGCTGCTTTATTCGACCTACTGAAGCTGTCAGGTGACAATTTTCAGAAAGAAGACAAAGTCATGAGTTTGACAGGGTGCTTCAACTAAACTCTAATCCTAAACACCATAATTTTGAAAATACGTCTAATCATAAGATTCTAGATACTAACAGTTTGAACAGACATGAAGGTGTGATGTTAGCTGACGCATAGGAAATCCTGATTAATAAATAAGAATGGATATGTATCACTAACTAATAATACTTGATCAAAGTTCCTGACTGTCTATATCTACTCATGGAGACGTTAAGACATTGTTTTACAACTGTTTATTCGCACACACACATACACACTGTGTTTAAAGTGTTTAACAAAGGTAGATCAATATTTGTAAGTCTGAGGTCAAATTTTGATCACAACTCGTACAATTTTGTTTGTTATACTTGTTAATATTTGTTTTATGAATCATGATTGGACAAAGTTTTTAAAAACAAAAGATGTTCCTTTTCATATATAAACCTGTCATGTTAATTTCGATTAATTTCCCTGAAGAAGTTCGGACCAGATTTCCGAACGAAACGTTGGAATTACTCATTTCAATATCGCTGAGATTTTACAAATATAATTTTTTTACAAATGTCTACTTCTCACTCGGCGCCCAAATATAATAGAACTATTCTGTCAAATCTTGACTACAGTTCATTTGATTATTTTATTCTTTTGCGTTCAATGCTGGCAAAATAAGGTTTCAAGCTGGATCTTTGAATTTTCAACAACAACAATGATGTTATTCTTTTCTTCGGGATTGGGATTGCTAGCGTCAAGCCTTATCTTCCCTCTTTTTGTAGGGCTTACAACGAGCGGGGAAAGACATAAGTGTATGCCAGGCGAGAATTGAACGCCAGAATGAACTATTAAAGCACAAAAGTGACAAATATTTACTCAGAAGTGGCTTTTAAAGTGAAAATTAAAAGTTGTAAATTACATGGTACTCAACGGTACAAAGATAAAAATTTGATAAGGTAAGAATTGCTATTGAGTGAGAATAAAGGTGGTATTTGAGTGTCAATTTAACAAGTGTGAAGAGGGTGTGAAATCTACAGAAGGATCATATGAGAGTGATAATAGTGAATTAATTATTAAAGCCAAAGCAAACTAAAAGTAAAACTAAAAAGAAAAGAAAAAATTAAAATTCTTTTACAGGGAACGATTAGTAAAGAGGTTAAGAGGTCCAAACTCTTATTCTACCTTTGTCTTAACCTCTTCACTTATCGTCCCCCGTAAAGAAATCTCAATTTTTTCTTTTCTTTTTAGTTTTACTTTTAGTTTGCTTTGGCTTTAATAATTAATTCACTATTATCACTCTCATTTGATCCTTCTGTAGATTTCACACCCTCTTCACACTTGTTAAATTGACACTCAAATACCACCTTTATTCTTACTCAAGAGCAATTTTAACCTTAACAAATTTCCATCTTTGTACCGTTGGGTACGACGTAATTGACAAATATTTCTTCGGAAAGTATTATAAAAGTGAATGGTGTTCGAGAGAGACAGAGAGAGAGAGAGAGAAAGCAAAGGAGAAAGAAAGTAGTTTAAACTTTGAAGCTACTAATCTGTGACCTATCTCAGAAATCAATAGGATCACTTTTGTATCAGCTTAGGAAGGATGCAGACTTTGAGAGTGAATTTATATCATAGCATTCCGAACCAGTACTCTGGTGACCTTCAACATCATGTAGAACCTTTTTTTCTGTATGCCGTCACTACTGTTTATTGTAACGTCGGATATAGGGACCAGTGTATCTGTGTGTATGATAATATATATTACAGACAGGTAAGAATTGATGAAAAACTATCCTGTCAAGCACAGTTGATCAGATTATTTGATCTCTTTAGTGTTTCACATGATTTTTCAATTCATTGTTTTGTAAAAAAAAAATAATTTTCTTTTGTTTCTTTTAGTCGTTTACTGTTGGCAAAAATGATAATGATACACGACATTCAGTTAGTAAAGCTGAAGAAAGAGGTTTCACATTATGGATCAATAAACGTCTTGGTCATGATCCAGATTTACAAAATGAAATTCTACCTATTGATCCAGGCATTGATGGTCAATTGTATCAAAGATGTAAAAATGGCATACTACTATGCAAACTTGTCAATGTTGCTAGTCCGGATACAATTGATGAACGTAGTATTAATAGAGGACCTGCTTTGAAAAATGTTTTCAATGTAAGTTTACAGTTGGCTTTTGTTTGGTGTCGAATGTTTATTTATAATGTTTATGCAATATATATATATATATATATATATATATATATATATATATAGTTACTATAGCAACTGATTACTTCCACTTCCAAAGTCTGTCTCTGATTGGTTATGAGTTAACGCCCAACGAATACACGTAATGGAGTACATTGAAGCACTGAGACTACACAGTGTAGTCTTTAGAACATAGTTTCCAGGGGATAGACGACACTGGTCATTTGCTAAGTTTCAAATGTCTTCTCTAGTTTCTTTCAGAGTTCTACTGATTCTACTAAGTAGATGAAATCGGATTTAAGTGATGTTCATTAGATCATACTCTTTGCTGACGGACAATTGGGGAAAAGAAACCATTTAAATGTTTAAATTAAGTGTATGGTAGAAAGACAATACTCATTAAGGAATGAATATTCTGTTTGTCTGTCTGTTATCAACATAGAACTTTGCACCGATGTGCAGAAGTTCAAGTCGCCGCATTCCCTTCAAGTAGCACACAAAGCAAGAGAAGAAAGTAGAAGAAATGAAAAATAGAAATAGTAGACAGGGATATGAGACAAAATGAGTAGTAATAATGAAGAACAATATAGTTTCATTAAAAATTATAAGTCACAAGGAGTGGATGCATCTGCACCAGCCATTGAGAACGATCATTTTGAGACATATCACCGATTGTCTCCAGCCTCCATTGGTTTTCACTGTCCTGAGGACTCCAACCAGGAAGGAATGAATATTTAATTCTGTCGGTGAAATGCAATATCAACTATGCCAGCTTTATTACTTATTTGAATGTTATTGTGTGGTATTCATAAAATGAATAAATCTTGCAGGGTTTTAAGCTCTAGGAGATGCTTGGAGACCTTGTGGAAGGAATTCCTGGGAAGTGGGTTCAAATCTTAGAAAGGATATTAATTTCTTCGAGGTCGCAGATACATCTTGTTGATGAGTGTCATCAACAGTGAAATCTACGTTGTTTTTTCTCATGGTATCCTGACGACTGCCTCCAGCCGTCTAATATGAATTGAAAAGTATGTCGCGACCGCTAATCACTTACTTAGCTTGATTAGCTCCGATACCACAGACTAGATAGATCATCATGTGTTCAATCGGTTACACCCTAGTGACCAATCGATATAGGTGTGTATATTTACGTTCGGATTCAATGCTATTCATTCACAGTCAGATACCAATTAGCGGAGTAATTAATGCATTCTCATCCTTCAGTGTTTATATAGAGAGGTGACTCATTGGCCTGACCATCCAGTCCTGTCTAGTTTGGCCAAAGCAACCAAGTAATATGTGTCATGACCCCTCTCACAACAACTGTAACATAGCCTGGTACACACAAAAGATTTTCGTGGTTTAGTTTATATCAAAGCCTACGCATAGAGCTGCTTCTCAGTCGAGATCAATATTTACGTGCAACTGACCACTTCTTTAATACACACCACGTGTTTGTTCTAAATGTTAGACATGAGTCTTAACATTCAGTGAATATTGATGAAATCTATTGATTGAGTAAAATAAAAGACTCAGTGAATGTATCGAATCAACTTCCGATAAACTACAGTATATATATCTTGGAAGGTCCTAGGTTGGAAAACCTAGTGGGTTCATGTCACCGATGAGTTCTAAACTAGGACGAAACAGCTATCAAGTACTTCCTGCTGTTGTTCAGTGGTTTTTTAACTGACACTAATCAATCCTCGATGAAACCTAAAATACAAATTATTCTCTATACACTTCAAATTCATTAATTATTTTTATACTTTTTATGCATCGATTAGCACTTTGTTATAAACATTTGAATTTGTCAATGTCATTCATTATGTGGTGTACATAGATAGAGATAAATAAACTGTGCTAACAAGGTCAGTTATTATTAACAATGAGATAGACAATAGTAACAGCATAGTAACTACCATATTGCGTTATTGTTCTTATGATTTTTAGAGAAAAAAAAGTGTTTATGTTATTTTCATAGCTTGTCACCATAGCTTTACTTAGTTTATACAAAATAAAAACACCTTCCTACGCTTGAACTTACTAACTTACTTACTTACTTAAGTGTGAATATTTGAATAGTTGACAATCACAATTGGGTGGCTGAGATCGATTGCATACAATATATATATGTATGTATAAAACTATTTATTCTCAGCTCTATTACATATTCATGTGTTGTTTTCGTGCTGCAGACTTTATTTAAATTTTAAATTTTATGCACATGATAATAATATTGACTGATGTTTATAATGGTCTAGATAAAATCAATATTCACTTCATGTTATGCATGATTATAGCTCATCAATTTTTTGAACCGCGATAATTCATACTTATAATAAAAATTATTCGATAATATGCATATGTAAGCTAATCTTAATAGGAAAGATATAGTTACAATTAGTTGTGTTCTCTGAGCCGGTTGGTTGGTTTAATTGCGGAGCTTTCGTCGTTCCCACTTCCAGACAACGACATCCCCTTTCAGCTGAAGTTTTAGCATAAAATGAACTGATATTTAAATTCTCCATGAATGATGGATGATATAATTGTATCTCCTTGGTAACCATCTTCATGACTGGCAGTGTGTTTATATCTGTATTGATCATTTTTTAATGGACTTCAAATTTCATCTTTGTTGTCGTGTGATTTACTTTTTATTAGTCGGTAGATTTGCTCTGTATCAATATGTTTGTTAATCGCTGGCTGATTCTCTTGAGTACAAGGCTTCTACGAATTCTCTGGCGCATTTGTTGTTTCCTCTGTTTGAAATCTCGACATAATCCCGATCAAACTGATGTCCATAATTATCTATGTGCATTGATATGGAAGAATATATATATAAATTTACCAACTAATAAAAAGTAAATCACACGACAACAAAGATGAAATTTGAAGTCCATTAAAAATGATCAATACAGATATAAATACACTGCCAGTCATGAACATGGTTACCATCATTCATGGAGAATTTAAATATCAGTTCATTTTATGCTAAAACTTTAGCTGAAAGGGGATGTCGTTGTCTGGAAGAGGCGACGACAAAAGTTCTGCAATTAAACCAACCAACCAGCTCAGAGAAAACATTTAATTGCAAATCATCCACCTGAGCTAAAAATCTTCACTATTATTTCAAAAGATATAGATAGTTATTTAACAGATTAGTCAATCCGGTTTGTAGCCCCACACTGAACGCTTACTTGATGTATACAAAAAAGGAAGAATGTCGAGTGGTGTTAAAACGTTCACTGCCACCACCCCACCCCACCCCACCCTCACCGCTTAAATTCACCAGTTTCAGTGAACTGCTAATCTCACCAATAGTGGTCTATGCGAATAAATATTGTTCTGTATTCATATCTAGGTAGCAGGCTTAAGTGTTAACCCCATAAAATTGTGTACAAAGGACAAGTGTTATAGTGAGATGCCATCATTTTGGAGTTTCCTCTACAATCGCATGGTTGACTGGGCTTCAAATCCACGAGGTTCTGGTTACAAGTCAAGCTTGCAGACCGTTCAGTGACTGGAACCCAATCCAATCGCCAGACTATGAATTCTAACTTGTACCAATTCATGGTTTTGTTGAAATTGGGATCAGCCAGTGAAATTGGCGAGTATATATGAGGACAAAAACCTTGAATTAAAATTATGTAAAATAATTGAAAAAAAAGTCATTAATATTGATTTAATGACCACATATTATTGAATGTTTTGTGATGGATAATGCTGGACGTCTATTCAATTCAGATTGAATTAATTAATATATATGGATTTTCCATGTGACTTATTCATCACTTAAGGAACATGTTCTTTCTAGCTAGAATAAAACATATATTTGTCATCACAGATGTAGGCGAACTTGTAGATACAATGTAAAGTAGGGTTCATAGATTAATATACGTGTAAAAACTTGTACACTGTGGTATTTAGTGTGTAATTCTATTTTTATATATTTGTTGAACATATTACATACACAGTGAAAAAAATATTACTTACTGGACAAAGTTTAGAACATATTCCTATCATCAATAGTAAAACAAAACATGTGACTTTTGCATTTCTCCTGTGTCCTTCCCGTTTATCTCAGGGATAGCAGAATTTCTCAGATGCTTGGAACTGGTTGGTGTTGAAGCATTCTTATTCCATGCGTTTTCAGTTGATTCGATAAATTAAAACTTTCGTTGTCAATCCTCCCCCACCCCCGGCATCTCTCTCTCTCTCTTTCGCCACCATGTTATGTTATATTTTAAAACTGTCGTCTTATCCCATATCCTGTTGTGTGGTTTTTTGTAATTGCATATGGTGCTGTATCTGAGCTTTTTTCTATATATTTCGTATCTTATAACACTTCACTAATCTAGATTCTTCCTATTGGATAGTTGGAGCCGATCGGCCTCAAAAAGACTGGACTGACCTAGGTTTCATGCTAGTTGGCATTCATCAGTCAGCAAAGTATATCTGTAACTCATGTCCCTTTTGAGATTCAACCGCACATCATCCAATGCTGCAGTCAGTCACAGACGTTACCACTGAGCTATCCGGGCTCACCATATCTGATTTCCTGTAGGACTGTATTGGGTATTTTTAGTTGGACACTGGTCACTGACTAGTGTCACTGACTGATAAAGATATCTTTCTTTGTTATGAAGGCTGTCTTTTCATGGCGGTAGCTTCCTATTCATTACAATATACAATGAAGTTCTCAGAATATCTGTTAACAACCAGGGCGAGGCAGTGTGTGTGTGACTGAATGTATACACCATCATGATGGAACCACACAGACTGAACACTATCACTGGTACAAATGAAAAAAATTACAATTCTAAGCCGTGAGAACTTTCTACTTTAACATTATTCTTATTATTATTTTGTAAACATTGTTTTGTTGGCATTAAAAGTGATTGATTTCACTTAAATAGAAATAAGGAGTGTGAGTTTCATTAATAAAATACCAATTTTCTTTGGAA